GGCTGCTAATGCTTAGTGAGCTCCCAATCCATCCATCCTAAGGCTCCTCGGTTCCCAGGCATCTATGAACTCCGGTAGAAGGGACCTGGAGGATGATGGTGAGGAACACTGACGGCGTGCTATGACTTGACCTCCCCTGACTGTCTCCACCTCCTTAACATGGATGGCTGTTGAGGTGTGTTCCCTCCCTTGTCTTCTATTCTCTAGCGCCCCTCTCCATTTTGCTCTGGACTGCTCTGTTCCAGCTTCACACCGATTGTGTTTGTAGTTTCCAGATGTGCTCTCATGCCAACCAGGTTAACATCTCCTGGTACACCAGGTACTTATCCTAGTTCCCTAATCCAGTCATCTAATGATGTTTCTTTCCCTTCCTAGCCCCATAAACTGGGCACGTTATAACCTGAGCACTGCGGTGATGGAGGCAAGGGATCAGAGTTCAAAATCATTCTCATCTATGAGTTCAAGGCCAGCCTGAGATAGATAACTCCTATCTCTTATACTTTTGGTGAGCCTAGCCTGTAATGTCAGGGCCATTTTTTCCAGCCCGATAAGCTCCTATCTCAAAAAACAAAACAAGACAAAAAGACAAATAAAGTGAACTAATGGGCTGTGCTTTTAATTAATTTTAGTTTAATTGTTAAAACAAAGAAAAGCAATTCACCTTCTTATGGATTCCTATTCTTATCACTGGTGAATGGGAGTTTCCTCGTTGTAGTTGTTGAAATAGTTGAGCAAATATTTGTCATATGGGCAGGCCCTGGCTCATCGACTGCATCCCTAACCTTGCTCCCATCTGTAAGTCTTACCTTTCTCCATTTCAATCTCTTGAAGGATTCTTCAGACTCTTTCTATATATGTCAGAAGCCCTGTTTGTTCTCACATGGGAAGGAACTCAAGGAACCACCAAGTGGAGTCCCATGTGGCTTTTCTTCTCACCCCTCCATGAATCCCTCCAGCATTGTTGACATCTAAAATACATTGACTTCCAGGGACATCCGTTCTGCCCTCTCCATCCCACCCCAACCTGTGCAGGTCTTCGCTGTGCAGGGCTGGGAAGTTGACACATGTGAACTGACCCCCACAGATCCCCATGCCGTCCCTCACGATAGAACTGGGTCTCCCCACAGCATGCCCTTCTTTCTTCCTGTCATTAGAGTGTTGGTGCTTTGAAGAGGAATGGTTCACCTCAGCACTGCAGTCCCAGTGCCTGATGCAGTATTGGGCAGAAGTCAGAACTCAATATGTAACTGTTTCATGATTGAATCCTCACTGGGCAACAAGTTCCTGGGTGTTACTCACAGCTCTCTATATAACAGGAACGCAGAGACAAAGTTCCTGCTTTATCTGAGCTTCTGGGCACACATATGTTAAGGTTAGACGAAGGTCAGATTTCCATAGCTACTTTGTGTCTGGTTTCACCTCCAAACAAGAAGTCTTCATACATTGCTCAGGAAGCAGATACTTTACACCATGGTATCTGGGGTCAGGGACCACTTCTTTCTGGACTATGCTACACATAGCACCCTTTCTTAATGGGGTTGAAAATGCTCTTCATGTCCTCATATTTTATCAGGAGAAGAAGATTCAGAGCCTCTAAAGACTGGAAGACAAAGCCATGTTCAGACCAATAATCCCAGGACCAGTATAACAAAAATGGTGTCTGCATTTTGCCAGAAGTTGGAGATTACCTTATCTGTAAGTCACAGGCCTCTGAAACATGTTGAGATATAAAGTAATTACCTGTCTTCCTCAACCAATTGATCTAAATACTATTGAAACTAAAAAAAATTGGAAAAATATAGTTAGCCAATCTTCTATTTACATACTCCATAAATCTAATAAAAGCAGAAACATTTGACCACACTTGAAGTGAACATTTTGTGTCAGAGATGGATCTCTTGATGATATTCATTTCCTTAAAGAAAGTTAATTTAAATTTTTTCTTCAGAATTTTCCTTCTTTTCCTCTTAGGTAACTCCGGGACATTAATTTCTAGAGACGGTGCCAGGGTTATTTGCTGACTCTGGATGTTGCTGGATATGCCTGCTTCATTTTTAGAGGTGTTCGAAGATAAGTGCATCTTTAGATGCAAAAGCCCAGAGCTGGGACATATGAGATGGTGGGTAAAAGTGTTTGCTGCCAAGACTGATGAGCAGAGTTCAATCCCCAAATCTTTGTGATGGAAGAAGAAAACTGACTCCTGCTTATTAAATGTCATCTGACTTTTAAGTATAGTCGGTATATATGCACCAGGGTGTGTGCATGCACACTTACACACACACACACACACACACACACATTAATCCTTAATTCAAAGGAATATATCTTCCTAAATAGGAATTCCTTAAAAGAAATAGATTTTTAGGCATCCAGTTATGACATTTTGGGTTGGGAGACTTTCTGTTATCCTTAAATTAACAGTGGGCTCCTGAAGGACAAACTGTGCTTGAACTAGGGAACAACTAAGTGAGTCACAGTCTGGAAGGCTTTGAGAGCTGGCATATTCGGAGACGGCATTCACACTTGCTTCAGTGTGGATCTGCTGATGCTGGATTAAACTATTCATGATTCAGGTCTCTTTTTGGCCTAGATTATGGTAAATCTCCTGGTTTTTCGAGTTAGCATCAGTGAGGGACTATGCCAGTCCTTCATTCTAACACCACTGCACTTGTAAGCTAAGACTGGCATGCAGACAAGCTGTTTAAATAGCAAGTCAGAGGTACCTGCTTTTAGGTAAATAGGACGTGACCTGGAACAAAAAGGGGTGATGTGGGAGTGTCATATATCAATCTGTTGATTTCATTGGTTAATTAATAAAGAAACTGCTTGGCCTGATAGGTTAGAACATAAGTGGGTGGAGCAAACAACAGAATGCTGGGAAGAAGGGAAGTTAGGCAGCCGCCATGCTGCTCCTCTCTAGGGCAGATGTGATGAAGCTCCAGCCCAAGATGGACGTACACTAGAATCATCCTGGTAAGAGACACCACCTCATGGTGCTACACAAATTACTAGATATGGGTTAAACGAATATGTAAGAGTTAGCCAGTAAGCCAGACACCATGCCGCTCCTCTCCAGGGCAGATGCGATGAAGCTCCAGCTCAAGATGGACATACACTAGAATCCTTTCCGGTAAGCCACCAGGTGCTACACAGATTACTGAATATGGGTTAAGCAAGATATGAGAGTTAGCCAGTAAGGGGCTAGAGCTAATGGGCCAAGCCGTGTTTAAAAGAATACAATTTGTGTGTTGTTATTTCGGGGCATAAGCTAGTCAGGCGGCCGGGAGCTGGGTGGCAGGAAAGCAGCCCGCAGCTCCTTCTACAAAGGGGTCTGGTTTGATAGCAGTTTGGTGGCCAATGGAGGCCTTAACAACTGTTGGCGATGGCGTATTTGAAATAACCAGACCAGCTCAAAACAACAGATATAATTTAATAGTTGAAAACGGGGAACTCACGCTACCGAAGAAAATCTAAAGCCCAAACAGGCCAGGCGACCACCGGGCGTGCAGAGAGCCTGCACACCTTTCCACACCCCCCCCCCCCCGTTTATCTATCTACCTGGCTCTAGGTGGCCACACCCAAGCCAGATGTGATTGGCTGAGCTTCCCCATCGAACAAAAACGTACCTGTGACAGAATCAAGCCAGTTGTCTATGATTTGGGAAACCAATCTAGAAACTATGGATTCAGGGGTACGGGTGATGTAAAATTTACACGACGCACAATGAAACAAACTGAAGATAATGCTTAAATGCTTCCTGATCAAAATGGTTCCCCCGTGTGCATGGGTATTATCTTACATTCTGCTTAAAGGCCTCACCTGTTAGATCTGCAGCCAGAACCCGCCTGAGATGACAAGAAGCATGCAGACGGTGACCAAGAATGCCAAGCCTCTCCCTAACACGCCTGAGATGACAAGAAGCATGCAGACGGTGACCAAGAATGCCAAGCCTCTCCTAACACGCCTGAGATGACAAGAAGCATGCAGACGGTGACCGAGAATGCCAAGCCTCTCCTTGTGTCACTTTCTTCTGCTTGTACCCTGGAGATGGTCAGAAAGGTTTGACATGCTGTGTGAGATTTCTCCTTTGTGTAAGTGTGATTTGAGACTTAATTTCTTCTTTGTTGTGCACGAATGTTTTCCAGCATGTATGTCTGTATACCCAAGTGTGTGTGGTGCCCTTGGAGACCAGAAGAGGAGCTCGATCCCCTGAAACTGGATACTGACAGCTGCAAGCTGCTATGGGGATGCTGGGAACTGAACCTATATCCTCTTGAAGAGCAGGAACTTTTCTTAACCTCTGACTCTTCTCTCTACTATCTCCTGACAATTTGATTTTTATCTGTCCCTTTTGTTAAGGATGCTGTCAGCTGGCAATTTTTGAATTAACTTGATCTCTTAACTTTTGGGACATTTTACTTCACATGAGCATGCAGCTTAAACCATTTTAATCTCTGTCTTTATGGAGTAAGATAAGTAAACAGCCATATTCATTCTGTTTCTCCAGAAAGAGCCTGTGCAAACCGACTAATTGTCATGATAAAGTCAACTGATCTTGGAAGGAAATAGCGTGACACTGGCTGAGTTGCGTTCTGCTTGCATCTCAGATATTCTAAGACGTTCCGCCTGGAGACCTTGATGAGACTCCATCTCGTCTTTATTCTTCCATGCCACAGCTCTGCTCTTGGAAATGCATGATGGCTTCCTCTTACAGACTCATTCCTTTCTAGGAATCAAATGTCTTTCAGAATCCTATGAATTTGTCACTTTCCTAGAAACAGAGAACAACAGAAGGAAAGGGCTCTCAAAGTAGAATAGAAATCAAGGTAACTTCTGTCAAGGCCCATCTGTCCTCTGTTGACAGTGCGCTTCAGAACGTTCTGGCATGAGCCCAGACTCACACAGCCATTGAAATTTAACTGAATCTCAAATTCCCCTTCTGATTATAGACCTTACCATTCCGCCCCATTCTTTTTTGTTTGTTTGTTTTGTTTTTTTTTCAAAGGCTCTGTTATAAAGAACTTCATTTATGTGTATGTGTGTGTATCTATAAGAATCCATGTGCACTGTATCTATGCAGGTGCCTATGGAGGCCAGAAAATGCATTGGATTCTCTGGAACTGGAGTTATAGATGGCTGTAAGCTTCCATGTCGGTGCTGGGAACTGAACCTGGGTCCTCTGCAAGAGGACAAAAGTGCTCTAAACCACTGAGACATCTGTCCAGCCCCCGCAAAGGCTCTTTTTAAAGAAATTACACAGGATTATAGAATCCCAACCCAAGTATGTAATATACTTTGAGCATATTCCCATCATTCCCTGCTGCCCTCCTTCCAATCCCCACCCTTCATTTACTCCCCTTTATTCTCCAGTTTTGATGCTTTTCTCATGTTATCTATACATCTGTCATTTTATACATTATTATGTATAGGGCTTACAAATGAGAGAAAACATGTGGTATTTGTTTCTCTGAGACTGGCTTAATTTGCTCTATATAATTGTCAGCATGTATCCATTTTCCTGAAAATGCTAACATTCTTCTTTATGCCTGGAAAGTTCTACTATGTGGAACATAGAACACATATTCCTTTTTTGAGACATGATTTGACTTTGTAGCCTTAGCTAGCCTAGAACCCACTATGTAAACCAGGCTGTTCTTGAACTCACAGAGTTCCACCTGCTGTGGCCTCCCGAGTGTTGGGATTAAAAACGTGCGCCAGCATACCTGGCCCTGGAACACATTTTCTGTCCCTTCCCTTGCTTGCTGGTCACCTGCTGCTGCAGTAAATATTGAAGTAAAAGTATCTCCTTGACGTGCTGATTCGGTGTCTTTTGCAAATACCCAGGCGTGGTATGGCTGGGTCATACAGAAGTCAGACCAGAAGTCATCCAGCAGGCCTACTCTTAGGCTGATGAGGAACCTCCACACCAATTTCCAGCAGGCCTACTCTTAGGCCGATGTGGAACCTTCACACCGATTTCCATACTTGGCTCAGCTAGTTTACAGCCCACCAGCAGCGGCTACAGGTTCACTTTCTCTCAGAACTCTTGCCAGCATTTGCTGCCACTTCATTTATGGATGGCTGTCATTCTCCTCGGGGTGAGATGGAACCTCAGTCATTTCTGTTTACATTTCTCTGGCCGCCATGGCCTATCCTTGTGGAAACTGCCCTCTTCTCGTTCTAGTTCGAAGTGGTGTCAAACCCCAAGTCTGGTCCAGAAGTGGGTGTGTGGTAAGGGTCTCCTCAACGGTTCCAGAATGGACTTGCCACTCAACAGGCCAGCCAGAGTCGCCTGGGGAGTTCTGCTAGAGCCCAAGAAGGAAGGAATTATGTCCATCCCGAGGACAGCAGGTGGGAACTGAGTCTGGGAGCTTATGTCCAAGGGAACTCTTCCAGAGAACGGGACACATACAGAATCTGGGTAGAGGGAGAGACAGTGTGAGGGGGGTGCTGACCTTGAGAAGTCAGCTGAACTCTGATTTCTCAGCTCCACGAGGTAATGAATGAATCCTCTTTTTTGCTTAAGTGAATTTGATTTGAATTTCTTTTCCATGTAATAAGAAGAGTGCTAACTTACATATCCATGCCTTCTGATTTCAAGTCCTATTATAAAATTTCCTCACATTTTTATTGGTGTGAAAAGTGTGCAGTTTTACAAGGACAAGACACAGTGCAACGGTGTGTTTTTAACCCCGAAGAGCACGTTTAACCCTTGTGAACTCAAGTACAACCCGAATGAACAAAGTAGTTGATACAAATTACATGAAGCACATGAGAAGTTCAGCTCATGCACTTCTCATTTCCAGAGTTTTTCGGTTGTAGGAATGGCGCCATTGGTCTCTCCTGCTTGCATATCCCCCCTGGGATTAGACTGCAATCTTCTCAAGGGTAGGAGCCACACTTTTCCATCTTTCCATTTCTCCAGCTCTAGTAATCAGTTAAAACTGCACTGCTAGTGCACAGTATTTGTTGACTGTTTACTAAGTGCAAGCACAGACTCTTATGGTAATGGGTTTAATTATGGCACACAGGAAGTAGCACCATTTTATAGGCATGGGACTCTCACTCTACACAGGCCATCTCTTTACCAGTGCCCTGCATTTCCCGATAACTCACAGTTAATGTGCAGTAAATAACTTGTTAACTAAGAGACTAAACATATTACACATTGGGATGGGAGACATTTCTTTTCCTTGAGATGAGATTTCACTATATTGCCCAGGCTGGCCTCAAAGCCATGATGTTCCTGTCTCACTTTGCTGCGTAACGCAGGAGAGGACACAGATAATGACTACTTTGACATTTGGGGAAGATAGACACAAACCTGCATCTCTGGATTCCTACTGAGACAATTATTCATTATGTACTGGAGATAAATATGTGGGAATACAGGCAGGTCTATATTTTATACAGAAACATAAAATCATGCATGTATATATGGCATATGTATATATATAACATATATTATATATGTATAATTTAAAAGCAAAACTATCTGGGGAACAGAATGGCTAATGGGATAAGAAGGGGAAAATGAGAGAGTAAGGAGGTGTGGGAGAAATGTGGTCAATGTAGTTATATGAAAATGTTATTGTGTAACAATACCATGTACAATGAATACATACGATGGGAAAAATATTACTCATATACAAGCACACACAAGCTTGTTTGCTTGCTAGCTTTGAGTCTGAGTCTTTGTTTCAGTATGTCCTGGACCTACATGCAGGCTGGCATCAATTCTCAATCCTCCGGGATACTGGGATTACAGCCATGCGCTCTCACACGTAAGTCTAGCTAGCACCTTTAATTTGAAGTTGCAGATGAGGTCGGTGTTTCATTAGTACAACTTGTATGCTCACAAAAGACTCAAAAGATCTCACGTGAGAGCATGCTAGGTAACTCTCTTCTTATTTAATATGTAAAAATGCCAATGAGGAAGCCAGCTAAAGTACAAAAAAAATTTGTTTTCCCCAAGAATGAAGAAAAGAATGAATGCGGTTGAAGGGTGATCAGTTCTCTATAGCAGGTCGTGTGACTTAGGTCTCCATACATCATGCTAATAACTTGAAAACACGCTAAACCGAATATAAGCTATTTCTTTCATTTGTAATTTAGAAAGCCTAGAATAAGGGGCCCTAAGACAAAGACAGGCCACGTTCATCGCAAAAGATCCGCGGAAGCTGAAATATAAGGTCTTTTAACATCTTGTGATATAACTGTTTTTCTTGGCTTAAGCGTAGGTTTTAAAAAATGGTGCTCATTGTTTTGCTTGTAGCTCTTTAATGCATGGACAACTGTGTTGATGATGCATTCAGTTTCGGAGAATTTTCCAATGGAAAAAAGTGCTCTGGAGAAGTTTAAGCGCCATGAATCACCCAAACCTCATCTAAGTCTCGTGAAGGCACGGGCTGTGGAAGGCAGTCACAGGGAGAAGACGTATTGCAGTTGTGCCGCCTGATTCAACTAAATAGAAAAATATTTTGTAAAGACACGAGGATTTCAGGCTGCTGGCAGAGTGCTAAGGATAAATGCCACATTCCGTCAGAAAGGCAAAAAACGCGGGACCTGCTGATCGCCCCCGCCCCCTTCCAGGAGCAGACCCAGAAGCCCAGCTTCCTTCAGTATGCAAAAGGCAAACGCCTCGTCTCGGGGTCACAGGAAAGCACCAGGAACGCAGCAGCCTTTTCGTGCTAATTATTTCCAAACGATACCAGGCATCCGAAATGGTTTGATGAGGCGAGGAAGTCTATACATTTTCCCTGTGTGATGGAGGTAGATCGCGCAGCACGGTGACACTTACAGCAGGCGGTGCTGCACACACCTGCTGTGGGAGGAGTTGGACCTCTCTGTCCTGTCTGAGGAGCACAGGAGCAGGGCGCGGGAGAGCGTTCCCATGTACCCCTTTAAGGCAGTGCTAGCTCTGAGGAGAACTCGTATTTTATTTCAGCTGTGGAATGCAGTCAGTGTGTCTGTTGCCTGGGCCACCTCTTCCATCGTCACTTGATAGTGCCTTGAACACAGTCTCTTTGAAAACTTGGAGTCTTTCCCTTCTCCTGTCTCCTAATCCCTGCTCTACAGGCTCGGACATTCCAGCCCAGTTGGAAGGGTGCACTAGCGACCTTCTGTAACTGGGAATCCACTTGCCAGCAGAGGGAAGACGGAGACCTTAGCTTTACATGTCAGCTTTCTCGTTGGTTTCCACTTCAAAGAAAACTACAGTATGGTTTACATGACAGGTTGGTTCCCCGAGGCTTCACTTGCAGGGACATCCCCACCCCCACCTTCACTGACTTCTTCTCCTCCCTATCACCTTTATGGAAACAACCATCAACACGCTTTTTTAAGGTGACCAGAACCTGCACGGAGTTTGATTCTGAAACGCACCAGCAGGCTTGTGTGTTGAGGACTTGATCCTCCTTTGGTGAGCTACTTTGGGGAAGTTTTGGAAACCTGGGAGAGTCAGAGCCTCCACCTAGGATGTAGGTCACTGGAGGCTGCCTCTGATAGCTAGTCCAAGTCCCCAGTGACCACCGCCTGTCTCTCTGCTTCTGGTCTGTGAAGTGGGTCTATTCCACGGTACACCTCCACTGCTATGATGGTCGGCGTCCTCACAGTCCCGGAAGTAATGAAAATGAACTGTGGTCGGAAAATCCTTTAACTGTGAGCCAATGTCAACCTTTGCCCTTCAAGCTGCTCTCTTGGGGGTTCCGTCACAGCTGGGAGAGAAGAACGCAGAGGACAGGGCTGGGCACCAGCTCTCTGGGCAGGCTGCACTTGGCTTTTGAAGTCCGTGTGGAGTGAGGCTTTGTCTCCTTGGTCACCTGACTATGGGGCTCAGAGCCACCGGAGCAGCTCACGAGTAGAGGCAGCACACTTTCCTCCCTCAGCTCAGCAATTCCATGGGGTCCTCTTTTTGCAGAGAGCAGCTTACATTTTCAAAATCCTACTTTCTCAGTTTATATCTAAACCTTTATTTGTAAAAGCCGCATAAACATGACATTGTCTTAGAGCAACCATCCTCAACCTGTGGTTTGCGACCCCTTGGAAAACCTCTATCTCCAAAAATACCTAAACTACAATTCGTAATAGTAACAAAATTACAGTTATAAAGGAGCGACGAAAATAATTTCATTTTAAGGGGTCACCACAATATGAGGAACTGTATTAAAGGGTCATAGCATTAGGAAGGTTGAGAACCACTGCTCTAGAGGACGATGCTAATTTTGGTTGACAACTTGACTTTATATATATACATATATATGTATATGTACAAGCACACATACATATAAATTCATTCCAACAGTCTGTTCCTTTAGGGAGCAGATCTCCAGTCTGGCTCTAGGTAGTCATTGCCAGTGAAATGAAGTCTTGCATGTGATACTTAGGGTCCTAGGCTCCTAGGCATATGTGGACTCACCATTAAGCCAATTCTAAAGGGGACAGAGAGATGGAAACATCAGTCCAGTACATCCCCCATTGAATAGGGATTGAAGGCTGTGGATGTGGTCAATAAAAACAATGGTGGCAGCTTCTCACGGTTTCTCCACCCAAACCGTTTCCTGGAATGTCTCTTTAGCACCAAAGAGAGATGTGACAATACTGCATACCACATGTACAGATTTATTTTCAGTTAAAAAGCTTTCTCTCCATGCAAACCCTTTGCTATTCTCTTTGGGTTGCACAGCCAGCGTGTCCCAACTGTGAAGTGACTTAACACATGATGATTTGATTATACAGCTTTATTTACTGCTTTGTGTATATTTAGATAAGTACAGCATTTCCTCTACAACCCCACTGTATGTCTAGGGCAGTGGTTCTCAATTTGTGGATCTTGACTTCTTTGGGGGTCGAATGATCCCTTCCTAGGTGTCACCCAAGACTATCACAAACACAGATGTTTACATTATGATTCATAACAGTGGCCAAATCACAGTTATGAAGTAGCAATGAAAATAATGTTTTGGTTGGGGGCCACCACAGCGTGACCTGTATTAAAGCGGCCCAGCGTTGGGAAGGTTGAGAAGCACTGCTTTAGGGTGTCTCATGCCCTGCCCTCAGTGGGCTGTCACTGACAGTGGCCTGCCTCCCAGCTGCAACACAAGCAGTGAAAATTCAGTTGTTCTCTGTTGATGGTTTGGTTCTTAAACATACGCTAGTTTATTCAGGCACAATGGCACATGCCTGTAACACCAGCTCGAGAGGTGGAGGCAGAAAGATCAGGGCTTCAAGGCTAGCCTCTGCTACATGCCAAGGTCAAACTAGCCTAAGCTACTTGTGATCTTACTTCAGCAGCAGCAACAACAACGATAACAACACAAAAATGAAACCACTAGTTCAATAAATTATTGAATGGTGCAACCAGAAAAATGGTAATGGAGGGAATGGATACAGAGGAACAGACAGGTAGAGCTGTTCTGGGAAATGCCAGAACTAGCTCCACAAGAGGGTCCGGGTTCAATTTCTAGTCACACTACTGAGCAGCTATGAGTCTCGAGCAAGTTTTCTCCTCTCTAAGGTCCCCAGCGCCTCTTGTGGGGTATGGGTCATCTTCTCACTTCTCACAGTGTAGCTATGAAACCAAGTTATTCAGATGGCACCCATGATAATCCTTCATAAATCATAAAGTGCACTGTGAGTGATGTTGGTACAGAGGTCACAACTGCTGTGTTCTTGGTCTAATGATCCTTAGAGTCTCAGCATGTCCCAAAAGAGGTTCTTATATTTAATAAGAACTTGAGAAGATTCAAAGATGGTTTCTTTCTATGGCTTTCTGGATTCCTCCTTAGGAATATCCCTTCTGTCTTATTTCTAAAACAGTGAAATTTACAGTAATTTGTTATGGTCTCAGATCACCAGTGAACTGTATCCGAAAACAAAGCAGCACTAATAGATTCTTCTTAGTCACCATAACTGTTTTAGAGATTACCACCAACCCCAAATAAGACGATCTCAAACCTCTGCTTTTGGGGAAAACACAAGTAGGTGAACAAGAACCTTTGTGTCAACCAATCAATATATTTGATGTGGGTTTTTGTTATTTAATGTTGTAAGTTCATTAACACTAAACTCATGGCCAACATCATTGCCTCTTGTCCCCGCGTGAGGCTTAGCCAACCCATCTGTTTCCTACATCAGGGCCAGCACAGCCTCTGTGTGCACAGGGACATCAGGGAAAACACTTTGCACTGTGCTTGAGGCCCATTTTAAGCATCACAACAAAAACCACAAAGTGCCCAAAGTGGCAAGAGTACAAGTGAAAGGAGACTTGTGCAGTAGACCTTGTGTAAGAAGGCACTGTCACCTGGCTCAGCCCCAGCTGAAGGTGTGGATGCTGAGCCACTGTTTTGTGTGCAAGGGAAGGCCAGAGGACCACATGAATGCCGTTGCTGTCCAGACATGTTTGTTTTTGTGTTTTTTTTTTGTTGTTGTTGTTTATTTTGTCACGAGGTCTCTCATTGGACTAGCACTTGCCAAAGAAACTAGTGAGCCCCATGATTCTTCCTGCCTCTGCCTCCCCAGTGCTGGGATTTCTAGTACATGCCACCACAGCTGACTGTTATATGTGGGTTCTGGAAACTGCACACAGGTCCTCATGCCTTCCACTTTACCCACTGAGTCACCTCCCCAGGCCTAATACTCTGTATCTTTGCAAATAGCCAAAAACGCGCTGTGAGCTCTGGCTGTAGGTTTAGAGTATATGCAAATTTGCAAAGATGGAATCTGCAAATCAGAAGGACTGACTACACCTCTGAAGGACAGAGCTAGGAGTGATGGTGGGAAATATGGTCACAGTCTGTAATCTGACTTTAAGAAGGAAGCATTTCTTACAGTTCTAACCATGTAGCAAGAGAGTCTTTGCATGCTTTGTAGACAGCATATGGCTTGGATTGATGCTGGCAAAGGTACATATCGAAAGAGGGGCCACAACCTAGGAGTCGAGTAAGTGACGACTGGAGAGGAACGCCAAAGACAGCCACGAGTTATTGATCATTCTCTAAAATCTCCACTCTCTTCTGCCTAAAATAGAATTTCAACCAAGCCAATATCCAGCACCATAAAACCTAAAAAGCAGGGCTCGTTTAAATGAGAGCGCGTGCGTGAGTGTCCTTTGCTCTTGCCAGTGCTGGACCTCAGAGACCCCAAGCATCTCTTAGCCGCTGTGTATCAGTGAAGAGAAGTAAGGTCATTGATCTGGAAGAGTTGGTTCCTTGGTAAGTCACTGGAACATCAAAGACAGAAGTTCTCTGGGAAGAAGTCCCTTTGAAAACTGTCTGACCAGAGCAGAAAGAAAAGCTGCCTCTCTGGGAAGGTCTGAGCAATCTAGAAGGCTAAGTCCACAGAAAGCTCCCCTGTGTCTGTTTCCTGGTAGAGAACAAAGTGACCTCTAGGGGGACAAGTTGTTAATAATAATAATAAGGTAATAGCAATTGTTGTTAGTAATAGTATGATAATAACAAGACACAATTAAAGAGCTGCAGAATAAACTGCTTAGATTTAAATTGTGTTTTCCTTGTGTGTGTGTGTATGTGTGTGTGTGTGTATGTCTGTGTGCATGAAGAGGTCAGGGGTTGGTGTCTCTGTCATTGTCAGTTACTCTCCATCTTACTCTTGAGACGGGGTCTCTCACTGGCTTGGGACTCCATGATTTGCATAGATTGCCCTACAGGCCCCAGGGCGGGTGTGTGTGTGTCCATCTTGGCCTCCCCAGCACTGGGATTAGGCGAGTGTGGCACAGTGCCTGGCTTTTTACATAGAATCTGGGGTCACAACCTGAGTCCTTATGCTTGTGCAGAGGACACTTCACTGGCCAACTCTCCTCCTTAGCCCAAGCGAAGGTAATTTCAGAGCCTAGGTTCGAGAGGAAAGACCACAGGTACCCTGAAGTATTAGCTCCCACGAGAAGAGGGGGTGTGCTAAGAGCATCTCTTTAGTATTTTCGTTTTTTCCAGTAGAGTCAAGAAAAACAGCAACAACTTCCTTCTTTTCTGCCCCAGGCTGGCTTGCCTCCTTGCTCTGGACTAGGGGGTGGGGTTTTCCTGGGGGTTTCATTTCCATTTGCTTTTGGGTTTTTTTTTTTTTTTTGACTCTGGGCCAGTGGGAAATTGGCTCACAGACACTCATGCGACCATGTTAGGCTGATTTCTCCCTCTGTTTCCTGCTCACATCTATGAGGAGGCAGCTAGCTGTGATGCAGTTTATGAGCGTGAGGGCTTTTTATTTACTTATTTTTTAAAATTCCACATGCAGAAGGTTCCTCCCTAGGTTCTAGAAGGATCGTCCATTTCCCACTTAGCAAGGCCTTTGGCTCCTGATTCCAACTTGCCAAACCTCTTTTTGGCATGGATACCCCCCCCCCCCCAGCTATTCAGCTTAGATTCTGCTTAAGATCTGCCTCTAAATTCTGTCCACTTTGAGAAATTCGTCTTGCTTTTATGTCATGCATTAAGGAGAATGTCGAGTTGCTGTGCATGTGTCTGGGTGTGAGGATGTGAGTGCAGGTACCTACTGAGCCAGCAGCCTCAGAGCAGCCGGGAGCTTGAGCGGCAGATGGTTGTGAGCCACCTGACGTGGGTGCTGGGGACTGCACTTGGGGCATCTGGAGGAGCAGATTCTCTAGCCAGTTCTCTAGCCTGTAGAACTTCTAATAAATACACCGGAGACAGACAGCCTCTTGTTCCTGTCCAGTCAGTCATGATGAAGGGAACTCTAGTCTTCAAACCAAAGTTTATATCTTGAAAAACACCTCTCACTTTAAAAGTAATGGAAGAAATGGGTCAATAACTGTGCACCTGTGCACCTGTGTACACATCACCTGGATACCACCCTTGTTAGCACGTGACCACGTTTGCTCTCTGTTCCTCTATGACTGAATATTTTGCATAATGTTTGAAAGTTAGTAGTAGATGGGAAATCTTCCCTCAAAAAAATACTTGGAGGGAGGGAGTGTCTGGGAAGAGCTGAGGGAGGAGAAATATTGTGATCAAAATATATTGTATGAAAATTAAAAATAATTAAAATCACTTGAGCATACATCTCAAGTACAAGGAAAGCAGCCTTTATTACTATGATGTCCCCACAGAATTTGGTGAGGATACTATATACTCTAACATATAGCCCACTGGCTAATGTCCCCAGATTCCTTTTAGAGCCCTTAACAAGAAGTTTAGAATTCATTTAAATGTCACACAGTGCCTTTAGCTATGTCCCTTTTCCAAGCTTCTAGAATAGTATCTTCATTACCAATGATACCACTTGTTTTCCTCAACAATTTAGGTTGATTGTAGAGGAAATATCTGATTATTTCTTCCTAATTAGACATTTTTTCTGTCATTATAAAATCTATTACACACAATACATTGTTAGGTGCTTGATGGTTCTGTTTCTTTGTTTACTGTGGCTTCTGTGTTTCACTTGCATCCCAATGAGCAGCTCTTCCATAGTGGCAAAGTTTGTTCTCTAATCATGAACTGATCTCAAACTTTTCTCATGTTTGCTGGTCTAACCCTGGAGATTTGGGCACAGTTACCTCACAGGGGATTCCCCAAGAAGCAGGATGCCCTGGAGTAGGGACTTGATCCCATTCATGGTTTGGTTGATTAGGAAAGTACTGACAACATTGTATAGAGTCAATTTAAAACATGTTTACAGAATGCCAAAACTTACTGGTTGGATACAAAATGTATTGGTTAACACAACTATATGAGTTTGCTTTATTGTTTAGCAATCTTTGTACAGAGGGAGTAAGAGAGTGTATCAAAGGGGATGAAGTTTAAACATAGAATAGCTTTGGGGGCTGGAAAGGCGGCTCAGTGGTTGTTAGCACTGACTAAACTCGCAGAGCACCAGGATTCAATTCCCAACACCTTCATGGCCTCTCCAGGCCTAGGGTATTTAATGCCCTCTTCTGGCCTCCACAGGTACTGCATTCACATGTTATGAAATGCACATGAAGGCAAATCAGCCATGCACATAAAATATTTCGCTTTCCGTGCGGTGGTGGTGCACACCTTTAATCCCAGCACTTGGGAGGCAGAGGCAAGTGGATCTCTGTGAGTTCGAGGCCAGCCTGGTCTACAGAGCAAGTTCCAGGACAGACTCCAAATCTACAGGGAAACCCTGTCTCGAAAAACAAAACAAACAAAAAGAAAACTCACAATGTCTTTCAATGAATATGAAAAAGAACACTAAGAACCCAGTTCATTCACAGTTCAGTGATACTTGACCAAGTCATAGAAGTGACACTGGGGAAGGTCAGTTCCTTACATTTAAATGGTTCAGGGAACCCATTGAGGAAATAGAAACAAGTTATCAACCTCTCACTCTGTAAATAATAAACTCCAAATGGCTCATAGGTCTAAATGTAAAACCTGAAACAATAGAGCTATTTGGAGAAAACATCAGGGAAGTACTTTATGACATCAGCACAGCAATGATTTTAATTTTCAGTAAGATTCCTCAAAATTAAGGGAAATAAAAGCAAAAAGCATACAAGAGTGCCAGCTATCAAATGAAGAAGTTCTATACAGCAAAGAAACAATAAACAGGAAGGGAGATCACCTACAGAGTGGGAGAAAATTTTGCAAATTATTCATCTGAAAAATGATTAATATTCAGTATTCATAAGAAAAATTTAAAATGTCCATAATAAAATCCTACAAATAATTCAATTGAAAACAGACAAAGGATATGAACAGATCCTTTTTGAAAGAAGGAACTGAGGTCATCAGCTGGTTTATGAAAAGTGATGAATCCCTCTTGCTGTCAAGGAAATGTGGGTTGATGCCCAGAGGCGCTATCCTCATGCCCCAGCCAGAATAGTTATTATTATTGACCACAAATATAGATAATAAATAAGATAAAATAATGATGAATAAAGTTAAAAATAACAGGAAGACTAGATAAAGGGAGCTCTCATGTACTGTTGCCCAAAGGAATGGGTGCAAGTACAGTCGCTATGGCGAGCAGCATGGGGGTTGTTAACAAGCCATAATTGATCTCCCTCAAAGAATGAAACCCTACTGTCTTCAGCAAAATCTCTCGAGGTAGAGGGAAGCACATTAGGTACAATGAGAAGCAGAGAGACACTTCACGTGGAAGACGGTTGATCAGGATTTCCAGTAGTGTTTGGTAGAGTCTAGAAGGGTCGTGGGAGGCAGCAGGACAGCAGTGCTTAGACAGTAGATACCCAAGCACAGTGCAATAGAAGAGTAATACTTTAGGGCTGGCAAGAGGGCCCAGTGGGTAAAGGTTCTGCCTGCTGAGCCTGAGAACCTCAGAGAGAACCCTGTTCTCCTCTGACCTATACACATATGCTTTAAACCCCCTTTAAAACCTGGAAGTAATGGGGGGGGGGCGCTACAGTGTACAATAATCCAGTCTTCTTATGTTCTGCGGGTAACTAGAAGAGGAGAGTTTGTGGATGCTAAACTCAAACTAATAATAAGGAGACAGGGAAGTTAATTACCCTGCACTGATCAGTGTGTGTTATAAACACGTGCTGGGATATCACACCAGCCTGTAAATTCATGCAATTACTACATGCTAAACATTTAAGGAGATATAAATGTTAACTACCCCATTTGATCATAATATATAGTTTATACATGTATGAAATTATCACAAAGTACTTTACATAATTTGTATAAACTAAAATAATTAAATATAAATGTGTAAATAAAGTACAATACAAAGCTACAAAATGAGTATACATAGTAAAACCACCCAGAAAACAATACATTTGGTTTTAATGAAAGCATGCAACTGACACAAAAGGCTAAGAAAGGCAGAAAAAAAACCCTGTTGTTATTTTTGTCTTGAATGCTGTTTGGTCACAGGACCGTGCTATGGATGTATGCTGTCTACTTGACACAGCCTAGAACCACTGTGGAGGAGAATCTTAACCAGGAATTATCTAAATCAATATGACCTGTGGCCATGTCTGTCAGGGATCGTCTTGAGTGTCGATGTAAAAAGAGCAAGTCCACCGTGGGTGGCACCATTCTCTAGGTAAGGGTTTTGAACTGCACACGTGTAGAGAAATTTATGTAGCTGAGCATCAGGAAGCAGGTATGCAATGCGTTTATTCTTTCTCTGCTCCTTTACTGCGGGTGTGATAAGATGAGCTGTCCAAACTTCTGCCGCTGCGACTCCCCTGCAGGGATGAATTATAACTTGGAATTGTAAGCTAAACAAATCCTTTCTCCCCTGTGTGGATTTTGTCTGGGCATTTTATCACAGAATGAAGCTGAAGCTCCCCTGAGACTTCCCATGATTTCCTAGGACACTTTTTATTATTATTTTTTTTCTGTTTTATTTTTTTATTTTTCATTTTTTATTTTTTTATTTTTTTTATTGAGAAAAGGAAAAAAAAAGTTTCTGCCTCCTCCCAGCCTCCCATTTCCCTCCCACTCCTCCCACCATACTCCCCTCCCCCCCCTCCTCTCCCCCTCCCTCTCCAATCCAAAGAGCAGTCATGGTTCCCTGCCCTGTGGAAAGTCCAAGGACCTCCCCCCTTCGTCCATGTCTAG